ATAATAGAATGTGTCGTTGTACCACCCGTTTCGAATGAATTAACACCTGTAACTATTTTTTCATTATTTGGAAGAGTTGGAAATGGTATAAAATTTTGAAGAATATGTAGATTATATTTTGTGCTTCTATTTTTGGATTAAGTGAAGTAAATTGCATATTTGCTGTAATACCACGATGATATATACACATGGCAGCTTTTATAAGTGATGCAACACCATTTGCACCTTCGCTATGTCCTAAATTACTTTTAATTGAACCTAATAATAATGGTGAATTAAGAGTTGATCGATTAACAAATCGGCCTAAACAATTAGCTTCAATTGGATCACCAACTGGTGTACCTGTATCATGTACTTCAACAAATAAGAGTTTCTGAGTATCAGAATTATTTCTTGAATAAATATTTTCTAATAAACGTCCTTGTCCAGCAGCGGATGGTACAAAAAAATTTAGTTTATCTTCGTTTCCATCATGCCCACTAAGTACATCACGAATACCACAATATATGCGATCATCATCACGTTCAGCATCACTTAATCATTTTAATAATAAAAGATCAAGACCATCACCTAGAGAATTCAAATTTAAATTTAATTCTAAATAAAAAAAACTAATCAATTGACTTTTTACCTTCCTCATAACGATTAGCATCGGCACTAAATGATCGACACCATACAGCCATATGTGAAGCTTATAAAGATGATGAACAAGTAACATCTAATGACACATTTGGATCTTGTAAATTAAACTGATATGATAAACGTGCTGATGTATTATATAATAATGTATTTGGTTCATGAAATCTTGATCCATGTTCAGGTCTCATACGAGTTGTTGTCATTGCATGATCTGTTGATGATAAATATATCTATAAACTGAGCTATAATTAAACAATAAGATAGAGAAGTAGATTATTTCTTATGAGATACCTATTACATATATATATATATATATACATGTAGGTATATGAGCGCCTTAATATGTACGATTTTTTTAAACGTGCGTTTTTAGTCACGGTCATGGATACTCGATATATTATATGAGAAAAGGGTCATGATTACAATGATCATATCGATTCATAATGCTTATTTGATATTTTTTCTTTATAACAAAATTTCTCTAATATTTTTGAAGTAGCTTAATTCAAAAATTATATATTATTTAAAAATAAAATCCTATTACATTAATTATGGATATACTATTCAACTTTAATCAAATCTTCATTATTTTCATTCTCAATAATTTCAGTAAGATTACTATATTTTTATTTCTATTAGAACTAAAATTATTTTAGTCTTAATAAAAGTAAAATAATTATTTTGATTATTTTCAAAATAATTCATAAAATTCTACAAATCTTGATCAAATTAAATAATATTGTATTTTACTTATTTCTTACTCTTAACTTGAAAATTAATTAAAGAAAAAAGATTTTTTTCTACTGAAAAAATACATAGAAACTATTGAAGAAAATAAAATTTGTTTTTAATTTACCGGTTCTATTAGTAGCAATTGCGGATGAAATATGAAGAAGACTTTTGATATTTGAAACTTCGCCACAATCAAAACCGCGATTACTAAAAATAAAGAAGATGAGAACATTCAAATATTCAATGTATTCATTTGCTGATAGTTAGAGTCAAAGAGAAAACATTTACCGTTTTTAAAATTCACTGGATAAAGCTAAATGTGATTTAATTCCATTTTACGAATAAAATCATTTCTGAACATCAATGCCTTCTAAAATATAATACAATTGATTACTATCTGGTATCACAAGACGTGCAAAAACATCTTTGATCTAATAAATAAAATTAAAAAAATATTTTTTTTAATTAAATTCATTATTATTGAAAACAAACTTTAATGTTGACGTCCATTAGTGTAGCTTTTCGACAAAATTAAAAAACAATATTGGATATAATAATGAAATTGTTTTTGCACATACCGAAATATAATCTCTAAGAAAAAAATGAATCAAATTTCAATGTAAAATAAAATATAATAATATTCTAACTATACTTGGTGTTTCTAATAACCGGAAAATCTACAAAAAAATAAGTTTTTATTTTACCCTGCAAAATAGTAATGCAGCTGCTATACACCACCATCTCGACCTTAGAGCTAATTTTAGTATCCATCAACTACAGTACATTCAGAATCTAATATTCCAAATTGGAGAAACATGCGTCTTGCTCACAGATAATACTAGCATATATCATTTAATAATTAGAAAAGATTAAAAAACAAATTTTTATATTACCCTACCAGTTACACATGCAGGTGGAGAACACCATCATTTCGACCTTTGGACCAATTTCGGTATTCATCAGTTAGAGTGAGTGCGCCATCTCATATTCCGGATTGCAGAAATATGTGTTTCGTCACTAGTAATAATACAATAATTTATTTAATAATTGGAGAGTTAAAAAAAAGAAATTTTTATATTACAGTGCGAATTACGCATACAGCTGAAATCAGCGCCATCTCGATCTTTGGATCAGTTTCAATAGTTCCCAGTTGGAATAAGCGTGCAATTTAATATTCGCTATTGGAGAAACATCTTTGGCCCTCACTGACGATAAGAAAATGATTTCTTGAATAATTGGAGAACATTGCGAACATGAAATTTTTATATTATGCTGGAAGCGATTGATCTCGATGTGATTCAGTATAGGGACGGCGTTTGGACCAATTTCTATAATTACCGGCGACAATTAGTTCACCATCCATAGACTGGAATCGATGACTTATATTTTTTGGCACATGGCAAGGTTCTAGATCCGTAAATGTGTGGGTATTGGGGAATATTTTTAATGAATGTAAAATACATAATTTTGTTGTTGCATATATATTAATGAGAAACATTGTTAGCTTGATGCGCATTGAAAATACCTTTGGATGACTCTAAAATACGAAATTTTGTTATGACATATATCAGAGAGATACATTGTTGTGTTTGTGCGCATTAAAAGTAATTATCGATGACTCTAAAATATGAAAATTTTTTTATGACATGTATCAAAGAGATAAATGCTTACCAAAATCAACGTTAAAAGCAATTGCCGATGACTCTAAATATAATACTTTGGTGTGACTGGTAACAAACAGAACGCAAAGAAAAATCATGTGATTGCTTTTACCTAATGTGATATATTCAAAAACATTTCACTGCAATGCACAAGGTTAGTATTTATATATATACTTGTTATACACTGTCAATTTGAAAACAAGTTATGGAGAATAAAAAATGATATTCTAAGAGTGTCCATATGTATTCATCCGCGAATTTCTATTTTTTTGAAAATAAGATATACAAAAAAATAAAAGTAACAATCTCTATTTTCTAATTATAAAATCGAAATTGAATACATATGGGCACGTCTAGAACTTCGCATTTTATTTAGCAATTAAAACATTTTCTATAAATTTGCGATTCAATTTTCATTTCATAACAACGTCTTAATACTTATTTTATTTCATGTACAAAATATGTAATGCACAAAAAAAACAATCCGACGAAAAAGAAACAGTTTGAAAATGTGAACAACACAAAAAACTAAATTAGTTAGTATTAAAGAGAATTAAACACAACAATACATAAGAAAAAATCAAATGCAACAAACACAATTCGAGAAATTCAACATAACGCTCAAGCATCCATAAAAACATGTATCATTAAAATGTACGATTATTTAGTTTATATTCATATAAAAATCGTTTTGCAGCTAATGATAATGAAAATGATCGTTATTTAAATGATAAATCATTCAGTACTTATAATTTTGTTTGTACTTTTGTCAGATATCCAGTATTTGTAATTGTTTGTATTTGTGTCATTGAATAGGCATCAACTGCTTCCTAAACAGACATAATAGAATTAAATGATGAGAATTGTACAATAATTGAAATGGGTAATTGAATTACTTATATAATTAAATAACAATTTTTTGGAGTGTTCGTACCGTTTCATAATCAGATGCTCCAACATGAAAAACGGTTGTTCTTCCAAAATAAAAACAAAAAAGATAAATACAAAGAGTGATAAAAAGTATTAACTTCAGTAACATTCTGTTTTTTTTATAAATATTTGTTTCTATCGAAAATTTAGATTAATATGCATCAATTTATTGTTCTGTAGCTGACAGACATATTAATAAAATACACGAATAAATGAGACCATAATTGTTTAGAGAAAGCAGCTTTACAAACGTTGAATTTTTTATACAAGGCATTTATTTATCTATATACGAATAGGATGTGAAAGCTGATTATTATTTGTATGAAAATCTGGTCTTTATAATTCGTGTTACTGTAACTCGGTACAATTATCAACTTTCTATTCTCCATATATATCGAAGAGAGATAAAAAAAAAAGACAAGTCAAGGAGAGGAAGAGACTAGAGAGAGCGAAAGAGAAAGACATTGATAAAAATGTAAGGAGAGAGAAACTATATTGAGAGGAAAGAAAGAACAAACAGGTAGTAGGGGAGAAAAAGAGCACGTGTTAGTGAAATAGACAAAAAGGATGTCATTCAAAAGGATGTCCGCCAACTTTTTTGGGCACAACTGTACACTTAAGTATTCGTTTAGTTTATTTTTCTTTAAATAAAACTGTACCGTAATAACAAAGATTTTATGTAAACAAACAAATTCTTTTATATAAAAGAAAGAAAATTAATCGATTATTTATTAATTATATCATAATGTTTTTGTCATCGTTGAATATATCTAGAGAATATCTTTTATTTTTGTTAATCACTGTCAAGAAAAAAAACTGTGATACTTCGAAATCTATTGCTATAGAAAATTAAAAGATTCATTTAAAAAAAATGCGAAATATTCTTTAAACGATTTCATATTAAATTCCATTATATCATTTTGAAAATAAGAATGAAATATTATTTCTATTGATAATATACTTAACCATACGTTTGTTGATTCTCAAATATTTCTATATCAAAGTAAAATCAATAAAAACATAAAATATAACATTGATATATAATTTAATAAGCTTTTTCAATATGTTTATTTTCTTATGATTTAATATTTATCGAAATAGCTTTTTTTTACATATTGATGTTTGATGAAATTCTCTTTTATATAATCTTGATGAAAACTTATCTAAAATTAAACTAATTATTTGTGAAAAATAAAATGTCTTTGCCATAATAATCATAATTGAGTACATGATAAACTAAATAAAATAATAATTATTCCATTTATATAAAGTTATTTTTGAGTATCAGCATTGTTACTCAACTTCCTGAAAGAGAATAATAATACGATTATAAACTAAAATATCTGTTTGTTGAAAATTAATGACATATAATCTTTGATTATTCAAATCTTTTACAATTGTATAATAAGATATTTCATGAATATGCATAGAAAATACAATTAAAAATGAATAATTCGATTTTATCTTTTTAAAAACGAATATGTTGGATAAACAACAATCTATAAATATTCAGTTGAAACTATTGAACTAAATAATCATTATGTTAATCATGTCATTACACATTATCTAATTATATTATGTTGAATTTTTAAACAAAACTAATAAAATTGATGATTGACTTAATAGTGAAATAATGCAATGATATTTTCACACACTTCATTTCTATGATATTGCTCGTTTAAATCTTACAAAACTACAGATAAAAGAATGAAAAGTAAAACTAAATATTAAAGTACTGAATTCATAATAAAATTAACGAGAAATACATAAAAAATGGATTGATTGATTTTCTAAATTTCTTATTGTATCTTGTATACAATATCCATTTGATATACATATTTAACAACTATCTCATGATAAAATAAATTGTTTTGCTCGAC